TGAGCCAGCCCTAACTATAAGCTTTATCAAAGAGGAAAGTCTTAAGCCTACTCTTAAATGTGGAGATGGTGTCTGCCTCCTGAACCCAAACTGGAACCTGGTTCCACAGGAGAGGAGCTTGATAGCTGAACGCTCTGGCTCCTAGTCTACTTTTAGAGACTCTGGGAACCACAAGTAACCCTGCATTCTGGGAGCGCAGTGCTCTGGTGGGGTAGTAAGGTACTATGAGCTCTTTAAGATAAGATGGTGCCTGACCATTAAGAGCTTTGTAGGTAAGAAGAATGATTTTAAATTCTATTCTGGATTTTACTGGAAGCCACTGCAGAGAAGCTAAGACAGGAGAAATATGATCTCTTTTCCTGGTTCCTGTCAGAACACGTGCTGCAGCATTCTGAATCAGCTGAAGAGTCTTAATGGACTTTTTCGAGCAGCCTGATAATAGGTTGAAAGAGGTTTAATTACAGCTACTTTAAAGTACTGTGGTATATAGCCTGTTGATAAAATAGATTGATCATATCTAGTATAGAAGTGCTGACTAAGGGTAAAAGTTCTTTAAGCAGCCTAGTCGGGATGGGGTCTAAGAGGCAGGTTGATGGTTTAGATGAAGAAATTATTGAAGTTAGTTGGTAAAGATTGAGGGAAGCAAAGCAGTATAAACATATCTGGTTTTACAGCCGTTTTAAAGGTTCCGGAGTTTGGAGATAAGTCGGTGCCAGTTGAGGGCAGGTCTTGGTGAATTTTGTTTCTAATAGTTTGAATTTTATCATTAAAGAAGCTCATGAAGTCGTAACTACTGAGAGCTATGGGAATACTTGGTGGGGTCTAGTTTTTTGTAGCGAGTTTTCTGTAATTCTTCCCTCCGAGCCTCATACACCCCTCACCAAGCGAACGTCCCCAAGTGATGCGTCCCAGAGCAACGTCCCATATGCACCACTACATTCGCTAAGACACACATACAAGTGTAACTGTCAAAAACTATGTATACAGCCATAAGAAGACCTGACAGTGTGTCAGACACAAGACTGGACCGCCAACCTTAATTTTTTCGCCTGTTCTTGTGTAATAATGCTTGTATAACTTGAATCCTGTAGTGCATAATGAAGTTATATACTTTTCAGGACAACTTAGGCTATCAGAATTTGTATACTACAGTGATATCACATAAATGTATTAATAGTTATATGACCATAAAAACAAAAAAAGATCTGCCTGTTCAGAGAAATTGTACTGTAGCACGATACTATCAGTTTTTGTTTTAGTGGCTACACACGCAGTTGACGGCTGATATGTCAGCTACCTCGCTGTCTGCGTCCTCTGCTTCCTACAAAGGCCAATGCTAACTGTTGGGCATCATAAAATTAACATTAAAGTTCCATGTGTCCCCCGTCTGCTCTGCCTCAACTCTCTGTGATTTACTGATGAACAGAAAGTGTTACTTGTTGCTAAAGTAACAGCGGCTAACTAGCTGCTGTTATATAATTAGCTCAGTTAGCCTAGTGGTCATGGCTGACATAGCCCGGACTGGGAGCTTGGAGCACCTGGGGAATGTATTGTGTTTAACATAACACCTCTACTGGAGGTTTTTAGGCCAGGATAGACTCACTTACTGTCTTTCTCTCTGTATGTCTGTCTTTTGATATAGAAACAGAGAGGAAAAGAGGGACTCAAACGTCACCACTGTCAGCACTGTGACAAGTACTTTTCAACATCTGGATCTTTAAAGATTCATCAGAGAGTTCACACTGGAGAGAAACCATACAGCTGTGACCAGTGTGGGAAAACTTTCACTAGATCAGGTGAACTTACAGTCCACGCGCGTGTTCACACTGGAGAGAAACCATACAGCTGTGAACAGTGTGGGAAAGCTTTCACTACATCAGGTGACCTAAAAATCCACCTACGTATTCACACTGGAGAGAAACCGTACAGCTGTGAACAATGTGGGAAAGCTTTTGCTCAATCATTTCATTTAGAAAACCACAGAAGTGTTCACACTGGAGAGAAACCGTACAGCTGTGGCCAGTGTGGGAAAGCTTTCGCTAGATCTGGTGGCCTTAAAAGACACCTCCAACATGTTCACGATGGAGAGAAACAGTACAGCTGTGACCAATGTGGGAAAGATTTCGCTACATCAAGCTATCTAAAGATCCACCTTCGTGTTCACACTGGAGAGAAACCGTACAGCTGTGACCAGTGTGGGAAAGCTTTCACTACGTCAGGTGCCTTAAAAACCCACCAACGTGTTCACACTGGAGTGAAACCCTACAGCTGTGACTTATGTGGGAAAGCTTTCACTACGTCAGGTGACCTAAAAATCCACCAACGTGTTCACAGTGGAGAGAAACCGTACAGCTGTGACCAATGTGGGAAAGCTTTCACTTCATCAAGCCATCTAAATTTTCACCGTTATGTTCACACTGGACAAAAACCGTACTGGTGTGAACACTGTGGAAAAACCTATGCCCGGAATGGTTCCCTTATAGTTCACCAACGGATTCATGCTGCTTCACTTTGAACATTTCAGAGCCGAACGCATGCTAAAACATGTCGTAGGAGTAAACGTTCTTCAAAACTTTGGGACACAACAATTTCCACCTGCAGAGAAACCCACAGAAAGAGACGCCATCTTGTATGACGTTAGAAGAGTTGCACATGTGGGTCTTGATTGGTAACTAACAAAAAGCCTCCTCCACATGTTGCTCACCTGCTACTGTGGAAACGGAATTGCGGCTGAAGAAATTCAAAATGCGAGTTGTCTTTACAAACTGAAATAAAGTAAACTGAGCAGGTTTAGGTAAGTAAACACTGAAGTAAGGTGGAAAAGTAGGTGTAGATAAAATGATGTGATAATACCTGGCTAATAAAAATAGGGTAACGTATTCTTTCAAATATTTTCATTTAAATTACAAATACAGGTGCTGGTCATATAATTAGAATATCATCAAAAAGTTGATTTATTTCAGTAATTTCATTGAAAAAGTGAAACTTGGATATTATATTAATTCATGACACACAGACAGATATATTTCAAGTTTTATTTCATTTAATTGTGATGATTAAAACTGACAACTAATGAAAATCCCAAATTCTGTATCTCTGAAAATTAGAATATTAAGACCAATACAAAATAAGAATTTTTAGAAATGTTGGCCAACTGAAAAGTATGAACATGAAAAGTACGAGCACAGCACTCAATACTTATTTGGGGCTCCTTTTGCCTGAATTACTGCAGCCATGCGGCGTGGCATGGAGTCAGTCGGTCTGTGGCACTGCTCAGGTGTTATGAGAGCCCAGGTTGCTCTGATAGTGGCCTTCAGCTCTTCTGCATTGTTGGGTCTGGCGTATCGCATCTTCCTCTTCACAATACCCCATAGATTTTCTATAGGGTTAACGTCAGGTGAGTTTGCTGGCCAATTAAGAACAGGGATACCATGGTCCTTAAACCAGGTACTGGTAGCTTTAGCACTGTGTGCAGGGGCCAAGTCCTGTTGGAAAATGAAATCTGCATCTCCATAAAGTTGGTCAGCAGCAGGAGGCATGAAGTGCTCTAAAACTTCCTGGTAGACGTCTGCGTTGACCTTGGACCTCAGAAAACACAGTGGACCAACAGCAGCAGATGACATGGCACCCCAAACCATCACTGACTGTGGAAACTTTACATTGGACTTCAAGCAACGTGGCTTCTTTGCCTCTCCTCTCTTCCTCCAGACTCTGGGACCTTGATTTCCAAAGGAAATGCAAAATTTACTTTCATCAGAGAACATAACTTTGGACCACTCAGCAGCAGTCCAGTCCTTTTTGTCTTTAGCCCAGGCGAGACGCTTCTGACGCTGTGTCTTGTTCAAGAGTGGCTTGACACAAGGAATGCGACAGCTGAAACCCATGTCTTGCATACGTCTGTGCGTGGTGGTTCTTGAAGCACTGACTCCAGCTGCAGTCCACTCTTTGTGAATCTCCCCCACATTATTGAATGGGTTTTGTTTCACAATCCTCTCCAGGGTGCGGTTATCCCTATTGCTTGTACACTTTTCTACCACATCTTTTCCTTCCCTTCGCGTCTCTATTAATGTGCTTGGACACAGAGCTCTGAACAGAACAGCCAGCCTCTTTAGCAATGAGCTTTTGTGTCTTGCCCTCCTAGTGCAAGGTGTCAATGGTCGTCTTTTGGACATACAAGTTTCACTTTTTGAATGAAATTACTGAAATAAATCAACTTTTTGATCATATTCTAATTATATGACCAGCACCTGTACACCCTCACCACAGTCATCTGTGGGAAACACAGCCCTGTGGTACTGCTGTTCATTTTCATTTATATAATTTTTTGAACATACCGTCGATCAGAAAAGCCGATGCTGGTGGGGATCCTAATAAGATAATTTCTAATAAAGGAAAGTTACAAAAATGTTTGTGTACGCTGTCAGTTATAGGTCTTGGAAAGTAAGAAAATCTGAATCGTCCAGGAAAAATCAGTGCCTCTCTACCTGATAGCTCTGTTATATTCTGAGCTTGTCTACAAACTGGGGGATGGACAACAGTAACTTTATATTTTTAGCAGCATTTATGTTATTGTGGCCACGACTACATACTGTCCTGCTTGCTAGCACGATTCAACCAGCCTGATTTCTCAATGTTACTTTTTTTTCATGTTGATTTGCATTGTAAATAAACGGTTATAAACATACTCAACAGTGATGTCATCAAATTGCTTGTTTTGATCAAAACTTCAAACCTTTAAAAATTACCATTAATGTATTATTAAAATAAGTGTTTTTACCGTATCCCGACAGCCTATCTTATTTTCATCTGGAGAATGTCGAATGTTTAGTTATTCTTCTGCACACTTTAGTGATAATGGTACAGGTAATAAGTGGAGTTTGTCACATCGGAGACCTGGTGAAACCAATAACGCCACGCCTCTCGCTCACGCCACCTCCCTGTACAGTCTGTAATGGTTGGCTGTTGCCGCAGCACTTTTTGTATGGTCTGTTCTGCACATGTGCATAATTATTATCACTCAATTTGTACCATGCATGTGTGGACATTGTAATTCTGTGTTGACAGAAGCCGTGATTTACAGAAAAACTTTATTTACAACACAATATTATACAAATACGCAGGGAAGTGTAATCAACAACAAGATGGCTTCAGTAGAAGAAAATTGTAGTGTGCTAAGTAGCGCAATATTAATTATTGTCAATAGTACTATTGACATGAAAAGATATTAACTTACATTAATACTACATAAACATTTTTAAAGTTAAACTCCACTCTTGATATGCATGTGTCCACACCAGTGAAAGCTGGATATTAAAGGCAAGCAGTATGAATAGTTAACAGTCCCATTGCAAACCAAAGACAATAACACAACCAGCATGATTGGTGCATCTGTTTATTGAGGATATGCTCAAACGTTACATGTAAAATGATAATATTTTCATATAAAAGGAACATAAAATGCTTATTTTTAAAGATTATATAATTATTTAGATTAACAATATTAAACAGTAGAAATGAATCACTTTTTATTTTTATTTTAATAATTATAAATTATTATTTGTCTATTAACATCATAGATTGAACTTTTGCTGCACTGAGCTATTATTCTAGTCTGATGAACTGAGCAAGACCTGCGCTCACTCCACGTCCCTCATCCGCTCTCTCACGCCACGCCCCCTAAGCTACAGTCCGCAGCCGGACCCGTTCTCGGTGAAACGTTTACCTGCTCCAAGATGTCGTGCAGGTCGACCAGAGATGGCTCCTGTTAGCCGTCGCCTGGCAGTTCCTGACATTCACATCTGACACCAGAGAGCATCTCCACCTGAATACAACCCCTTGTTATCATGTGACTGTGCTGGACTAGAGCCATGTGATGACATCTAGGAAGTTCAGTTTACTGAAGAAGGCCATGGGATGTGGTCAAAAGCCCCAACAAAGATGTAGTATGTGAGGCTTGAGTTTAGACTCATTTATTACAGATGTGTTCCCCAAAGTCAAGAATGAAGCTCCATGCTGGATGAAATATTGTTTCTGTGAGCTTCATACATATTTGCTTGTTATTTTGTTGTAGTTAACATATTTCATTTAATCTTTATTTTAAACTGTATCCACTGTTTTTATTTTATTTTGTTTATACTTTATTGTGTCAATACATATCATTGATACATGTCTTGTTTTTATTAAGTATAGTGTAGTACACATGTTCAGTATTTGTTAGATTTGTCCTGTTGTGTTTTTGGGGCTGTGGCTTTGGTGAGTCTTTACCACCCAAAGAGTTCTCATGTGGACCTTTTCTTTCAAATAGCTTCTCATTCAATCCTACTTCATTATACGTCATGTAAAATTGTGTGTGGCCCTCACCTTCCCATGTCTTAATCTGGGTCACATGATGTTTCTCTCAAACAGGTAATTTCTTGTTCCTTTAGTTACTTTACATATTCTTCTCCAGATTTTAAATGTGTTAACTGTATATAGACTAGTTACGTAATTTGATCTGTTGATATTTTCTGAACGGGGTTTTGAATCTGTTTGTTCAGACTGAAAGCAAAGCCAATTCTAGTCGAAGCAAAGAACCGCAGAATGTGAACTGTTCTATGAAGATAAATAATAAACTGGAGACGTTAAAACTGAATATGAGTTATTTCTGTTTATGTAGGCTATTACAAGAAACAGACCATTGTCCACCACCACTACTTACTGTATATTAGACTGACTACAAGGATAATATCAGCTTAAGCTGTAGAAATTGTGTCTCTATCCCCAAGCATACCATACAGCTTACAGGCAGGTTGTCTGCCGGGCCTAAGGCAGGCGCATTGTGAAGTCCTTATGTGTTGTGTCCTGAAGAATAGGGTATTAACACATTTTTATGGCCTCATTTGGCTGATATTAATATTAATTGTAGGACTGATCTGGCTTTGCCTTAATTTCTAAAGATCTATAAACCGTGAACCAAGACATCTGTGCTGGTTAAATCGTTAACCGATAAAGGTCGACTGCCTCATCCATCCATGATGATCTTTTGGCCGATCTTTAAAGTGGGGCAGGTGCAGTGGACTCCATGAGGGCTGATGCTGGGGAAAGGAAAAACCTGTTTATGTAATATAACACACCCTCATAGCAACCTCTCAGCCACCATCACGGTTTAAATGCAGAACTACCGAGAGAAACCTGTAGAAAATGCAGATATTGCAGTTCATAAGTAGTACATGTGTGGAAAAACCCAGATGTAAAGACAACATATAGGACATTTGTAAAATCAAACTGTTCTTGTATTTGTGAAGTTTTGAGGCAACGCTGCCACCATGTGACTATCCATGTACAGCAAATACTAGTTTCTGTTAATAAAGTACACCGAGCTAAAACTGTTGCACTCCAGTAAACAGCCCTGCAATAAATAATATCTTCATGAAGCTAGCAATGTTTTTTTGTTATTTGTATAACGTCTTATTCATGTGTTTTACTTTTAAACTCCAAAATGGCTGTTGGGCTGAAACAGATAAAATTGTAAGTGATAGAGCTGGAGATTTGAACACATTTTTAAAAATAAGATTTTTACTCCCCAGAATTACCTGATACGTGATTTTCTTCCATACAAATGTTGGTGTGTTGCTGTTCCTTCATAAAATAATTAATTCTTTGCGCAATCTTACCTCCACAATATTTTCTAAACTTTCTGTAAAAAATAAAATGTAATTACAACAAAAGCCATCCTAAACAGAACAACCACCAGGCCCGCCATAAGATCGTCCCGTACAAAGCTTATAATGTTCTGTCTCTGCTGATGTTGAGTCTGAGATGTGTTAGTTATAATTATATGTCTTTATAATGTGTCCTTTTACTTTGCAGTGTGTTGATCTCTCAGGACCAGCTAGTTAGTTGACAAAAACAAGCAGAGAAGCCACACACTTGCCATTTGGAGGGGTTTGTTTTTTTTTACCAGCCGCCTGTATGACCAAACCAGACACAGCACCTGCTGTTGTGCCTGGTCCCATTTGATTAATTACATAACAATGCCTATTGAGCAGTAGTACTTTGTCACCATAAGAAATGTCCGGTTCAAAGTATAATTTAATCAGCTCATCTATAATGGGGTGTCCCGCAGGGCTGAGCGGAAATAGACACGGTTTCGTGCAGAAGAGCAATGAAGAAAAGAAAACCATCTAACTAAACTTATCTTCTGCCTGAAATGAAGGAGGCTTTGGGCCAATCTCAATGTCCACGCAAATAGACTTTCAGGTGTGTTCCGGTGAGTCCGTGAGGGTTTAGGGATGTCCCACTGTCAAATCGTTAAGTGCGCAAGGGCTCTGTCGCGGACATTTTGAGCCCTGTTTGTAACAGCTCAGGTGATACCCGGTGAAGCTGTTGTGTGTTGTACTTGAGTACAGCAGTGTAGTAAATGCAGCTGTTGTGTTAATGTGAATGTTTTGTAAGGAGCTCTCCAGTTTGTCCTGAGGGACGAACAGATTGACAGGAAGCAGCCAGCAGGAGGCAGCAGAGGAGCTTCAGTTTGTTCAACAGATGATAGTTTTCACTTTAAACTCACTGGAGGAGCAAACTGTGTGCAGAGGGTTTGTGTCCTGTTACCTTTAATAGAAACAACCAGTCCTCCTATAATGGAAGATCAGCAGCCCAGTAAGTTTATAGTTTCTGCTGATTCTACTCAAACATGAGCTATAATTTCATGTAAATGAGCTCCACTGAAAAAAAAAAAGAAGAAATCAGACTTAACTCTCTCCTCAGTCATCACACATGGAGAAAATATGGCCCCACTCTGCCACATGGGGGCGCTGTAACCAAAGGTTTTCTGCCTCGTGAATCCAACAGTCTCACAGCTTTAGATTAATTTTCATGATGCTGAGTGGAGAAATGTCTACTCAATAAATCTATACGTTGGAGGTTGTATTTGGTTCAATGACGTGACGCCTACATTTTGTGTCCAACTGGATTATTTTCACAAAAAAAAGGGTTGAAAGCATAAAAGTATACCATATATGTACTCACCTTTAACTTAACAAAAAACATTAGCTTTTTGTAATTTTTCTAATAATTGAAGTGTCAAAATGTCATGCCATGTTCTTTAAAATTACTTTAAATCTATTCAATGTTTTGGCCTATTTGGCATGATTTCCAAAGTGTTTCTTAGTCCTCTTCAAAATCGCAAACCATCTGTATTTAAATTTCCATAATAATACACAGGCAAACTTTGTCCGATGATGTCCATTTTATGAAATATCATGTGGTGCGACCATCCACAAACGACCACTTTGGGACTTTTATGTTGAAATCCATTAGAAGACAGGAAGTTAAATAATATACTAATCTGCCAAGGACCCATTGAAACAACTCTCTCTCAAAGCTGGAAAAATGTAAAATTGCCACTTTTTCATATCATGTGGTATGCCATCAGAAAAACAATTAATATAAAGTTATTTCTAACAATATTTTTTTGATTATAAATTTCATGGAGTCCATTTGTAGGAAGCCTGCTTGTTTTGTTTAGGTGGCCTATTCTCTGCCTGTGAATGTTGACTAAATTAGAAAATATCATGCGGTGCGACCAAATATCATGCGACTGTTGAAAAGTGGTTTCCATGATTGGCAATTTAGTTTTTGTCCTTTTATATTCAATTTATGACTTTTACATATAAACTACTTTTATTTTAGTATAGACTGGAAACAGATTATTTTTAGTCTTTGTACAATATCATGAGAAAAATGCACAAAACAATTTTTAGAACTTGTAATTTCACTTTGATAACTCTGCAATATTAGTAATATTTAATTCATTATAACTGTTTTACCAGATGCCACTCCCAAGTAAAGAAAAACTGCTCTCCATGGACAGCATGTTAATTTTGACCCTACAGCAAGAGTGTAGTCGCCAAAAGAAGCAAAAAATATTGCGTCTTAAAGAAAATTTAAAATGAAAACTGAATGAAGCAACATGTTGCTTGTGTGTGTTCCATTTCTTAGGAGGAAATGCATTTTTTGTGAACATGTTGGCGTAGGAGCCCGTCCTCACTTGATTTATTATGCTGCTTTACGACCCGTGTTTACGTTTTTAACGACCTCTATTGGCCGTGTTGGCTGTGTCTTTCACGCAGGAGAACCGCGTTTGATTCCCCTGTGAAATCAAATAAATTTAGAGTTATTTTTAGTTTTAAGCCAACTTAATCCCAACAAAATGTAGCAAAGCATTTATTTCATTGCAAATGGTGGTGCCTTGAACATCCTGTTGCGTACGCCAGCCACTGGACGTCACTGTCTTTAAATGTGGCTGCTGATTGGGTAAGGCCACTGACACACCCAATAAATGAAAAAAAACATACTTGCAGTTGACACCACATTTCTGCAGTTAATGTAATTAGATTAAATATAATGTCAATTTGTTTGAGATTTTCATCAAAAAAAATTTTAGGAAATGTTTGTGTTTATGAAAATTCTTTAAAATTTTAATAATGATATCTGGTTTATTTATGTTTTTTGTTTAGAAGTTTTTGTGTATTGATCTCTTTAAATCTATATTTTTAATGATATGCAGTATTCACATCATGTGGTGTGACCAATAACTGTATTAAATAAAAAATAAATATCTCATTCCTGTGACTGAAATATTAATTACTGATACAGTATATTTCAGTGAATGGTATTTAAAAAAATTTTTTTTATCAGTTTTATGCAATTTACAGGGATAATTAATCAATTAACTACATTTAAGAAGGGGATTGTGACATTATAGAGCAAGAATATAAGATCATTATTTACAAAACCCCAAAAGAAAAGCAACTACATTGTATCTAAAACCTTTATATTACTGAGAACTTGTAAAAACTGTTAAACATGTTATGGGAATAAATTAATTTTAAAATAAATGATGGCATTTGACATTTTGTAAGGCCAGAAACAGTTTATGTAGCTGAAAAAAACACTAAAATAATTTAATTTGAAAACAAATTACATTCATTTATGTGTACACAGCATTCCTAATGTTTGAACAACGCCATTAAATGTTTTAATTTTTTGTATTTTAAAATTGCCCTGTTGAAAATCCTTATTGACCCATTTACAGTTTTCCTCCTCATAGAATATTCATGATTCTCAAAGCTGATCCAGAGTCAGTGAGATCGCGAGAACACGAAGCTCCACGAGGTCCTGCAGCGCTCCTGAATCTGAAGAGCTCCGACAGTCACAGAGGAGACCTGCTGGATCTCAGAGACCAGGACCAAGAGCGGGATGGAGGAGGACAACCAGGACCCGGAGCCCCGGAGCAACAACGTCCCCGGAGGACAAACAGCAGGCTCGAGCTCTGATAGCACCGATGTTCAGGTCAGTGTTCATGAACACAGCTAGCAGCTAACAAGAAGCTAACGTGGCGTTAGCTCGGCCTGGTTCCGACACGTAGCTTCATATTGACTGTAAACAAGATGTAATGTAGCAGGATTCAACAGTGGAGCCATCAGAACCCCGTATCTCTACAGAACCCACACTTAATGTGACGGTCGGACCCGGAGAGGAGGAGGAGGAGGAGGAGCAGGTCTCTTGTAGCATGTAGCCTGCTGCCTGGGTGTTAGCATGCTAGCTAGTTAGCTCAGACTGGACAAAGCTAAAGTTAACTTCCGGTTACGTTGCTGAGCGACCGGTCCTCCGTGTTCTGCTCCTCTTAGTGTTGTGAAAGCTGTTAGACATTTTAGATAAACACAGTTTCAGATTTGTGTTTATAAACTTCATTTAATTTGTGACAGTAATAAAAAGGACACATTTTATGTATTTTTAACATTTACGCCAAATAGGACCAGAGGTCTCATTTATAAACGGTGCGTACTCACAAAACAGGGCTGGAAAGAGTTGGGACAAAGTCATTGTTTTACAAGTCTCAAGTCTTAGCACTCAAGTCCCAAGTCCAGACCGATCGTGACGAGCAAGTCCGAGTCAAGTGAAGACAATTCAAGTCCCAAGTCTGAAACTTTGGGTTATGAGTCCTAAAAAAGTCATAATGCGCTCTTTTCATAAGTTTTCAAGTAAAAAATATAAACGTGTATTGAATGAAGCATTAGCCTGTACAGAAAGAAGGCAGAGGTGCAGTTTCACATAACAAATGTTTAATGAATTAAATTGAATGTTCGTGTAGGGCTGCTAATTATTTTGGTCAGTATTGAAATCACAGTTATGTAACAGGATTACTCATTAACTTAAGAAACTTTTGAACTTTTAAAATGTAATACTACTCTTTTTAAAAACTACTATATATGCATTACTCCAAAATCCCAAATAGCCCATGAAATAAGAAACAACAATCCAACATTTGAACTTTAAGCATCTAGAGTGCAAGCGGACGACAGCAGCGCCGTTTCCCCCAAGTTTTGGGTAATGTCAGAGAACGTCACCGGATTGGGAAACACAACCAGAGCCGTTACTAACGGTATCCATCTGTATCCGTGGGTAACGTTAGTTAGCTCGGTTACCCGGGAAGCTAACTGTTCCAGTTGACTCAGCCTCGGGGTGCCAAGAGCCAAACCTGGCAAGGAAAACACCTCGGTCCTGTATTCCCTGTCGTTAAACTGGCCTCTGCCGGTCTCGGAGGCTTTGTTGGTTCCCGGTCCGGCCGTAGTGTTCGCTTATTGAGAGCTGAACCTGTCTGCATGACTGGGTGGGGAGGCGTAATGCACATTCAGCGCTGTTGGCTACTGTAAACACCAATCAATATATTCAAGTTATTTTTCTCTTTGAAACCAATAACTTGCACATTATCAGCACAAGGACACGTAGTCCATTAAAATGTTTATTACCTTCATGTGCAATTTCTGCCCCGCTGCTGTCATGGTAACGTAACGTTACACAGCGTGTCATCTAACATTCGGCCGTTTCATATTTTCTGTTTATTTAACGGCCGCGTAGGAGCTGAATCTAACATTACAGACAGTCTGTGAGTCCTTTCAGGTGTTCACTGATGCAGAAATACATTTTATTATCATACTGCATTACTTAATATTGAAATGAATCCATGTCAGAAACATTTAAAGTTTTACGTAAAGTAGCCTAATTAATGTCATTGTTAATATCACAACACATCAGTGACGTGGAAATTTGATTTAATTTGAATATTTTATTGTCATTATTTTAACGTGCTTCATCAGGATGAGTGAATAAAATATAGATTTATTGATTAGACAACATTTTTTTAAATAAACAAAATTAGTCTATGGACAGCCCTAATCAGAATCAATCCAGTGATCATCTGACTTATATTTTTATTCAGTAAATAGCTTGCATTGTTCTGCAGAGACTAAAAGTGCAATTTAATAAGCTGTTAATGGAAAGTGAAAATATTTCTGCAGCTTGTAAAGGGTCATACAGGCTGCTTTCCAACACGCACAGTGGCTAATTGTGCATTTACGATCCTCTGCTGGGCCTTCTTGGTGAGGGAGGTGATGTTGAGCTCCCACTTGAGGTCCCGGGAGATGATGGTGTCTACTTAGTAGCAAACCAAAGATTACAGATCGCCGGCGCTATAATCTTTGATTAGACTGACAGGACAGCTGATTCGGTGGTTGCCTAGCAACATAAAAAAACGCAGCGCTTTGCTCTTTTCAAATTCAACCAAAAAAAGGGCATTGCTTTGCGCCTTGCGTTTTCAGACCTGCAAAGTACTTTCTGTCTGATCGGGGCCTGAGTCTTCTTTGGCGTTGTATAGAGGTTGGCATCACCGCCACCTGCTGGATTAAACTGACCAAAACGTGTGATTCCATTCTAGGGATGAAACGGTATGAAAATTTCATCACGATTATAGTGACCAAAATTATCATGGTTATCAGTATTATCACGGTGTTGTAAAAATGTGTCAAAAAAGATTAAAATGTACTGATACACACACTGAAACCATTTCAACAAGTTTCATATTGAAAACTACAAATAAAATTGCCATTTTGTTTGCCTAAAACATAAAATAACAGCAGATAACTTTTGTAAACAAATGAAAATCATGTAAGTGTGCATTATCGAGATTTTATATTATATAGGTAATACAATGACCCCGTGGACAATTACATGAAAATAAATCTTTAGAAGACCGTGATAGTAACTGCAATGAGCCCAAAAACTGACTTAGATACAGAGGCGTCTGTAGCGTTTCTAGATACGTTGGTTGGTTGACTAAACTGCGTAACATGTTATCATGTGCAGTGGATGAATAGACTCTGCCAACACACGACGCACACAGCAACAGAACAACGTGTAGCGTTTTTACAAGAGCAGCGAACACTGAGAGCTTCAGTTTACACGCTGTTAGCAAGTCAGAGAGACAAACCAAAGCTAAAAGTTAACTCACCCTGCGTTCACTGTAAGATCATTTTCTTCAATCAAGTTTCCCTCAGCGCTCTTATAAAAACTAAAATACGACCGATAGGAGAGACTGAAAAATCTTGTCTTCTGCCGTGTTGTCATTGACCCAAACAAACCCACACAATAGCGAGGTTAACCGTACCCGGTTATCATGGCAATTAAAATGTGTGCACGGTAATAATAACTTTTTTAATTTTACCATGGTTTACAGTGAAACCAGTAATCGTTTCATCCCTATTCCATTCACAACTATAGTCGGTACTATAACTAGAAGTAGTAGCAATATGTCTGTGTCTAGTAGCATTCTCGCAACCCCCATGGGACCATGACCCCCAGCTTAAGAACCACTGTTCTAGATAGCTCGCTTCACCATGACATCTCACTTACTGTCTTTCTCTCTGTATGTCTATTTATATAGAAACAGAGACGAAGAGAGGGACTCAAACGTCACCGCTGTCAGTACTGTGACAAATCCTTCACAACATCTGGATATTTAAAGATTCATCAGAGAGTTCACACTGGAGAGAAACCGTACAGCTGTGAGCAGTGCGGGAAAGTTTTCACTAGATCAGGTGACCTAAAAATCCACTGCCGTGTTCACACTGGAGAGAAACCGTACAGCTGTGACCAATGTGGGAAAGCTTTTACGCAATCATTTCACCTACAAATCCACAGACATGTTCACACTGGAGAGAAACCGTACAACTGTGGCCAGTGTGGGAAATCTTTCACTAGATCTGGTAGCCTTAAAACACACCTTCGACATGTTCACGATGGAGAGAAACAGTACAGCTGTGACTTATGTGGGAAAGATTTCACTACATCAAACTATCTGAAGGTCCATCGTCGTGTTCACACTGGAGAGAAACCGTACAGCTGTGACCAGTGTGGGAAAGCTTTCACTAGATCAAGTGGCCTAAAAATCCACCAACGTGTTCACACTGGAGTGAAACCATACAGGTGTGACCTATGTGGGAAAACTTTCACTACATCAGGTCACCTAGATATCCATCGACGTGTTCACAGTGGAGAGAAACCGTACAGCTGCGACCAATGTGGAAAAGCTTTCACCTCATCAAGCTATCTTAATACCCACCGTCGTGTTCACACTGGACAGAAACCGTACTGGTGTGAACACTGCGGGAAAACCTATGCCCGGAAAGGTTCCCTTATAGTTCACCAACGGATTCATGGTGCGCCGCTTTGAACATTTCAGAGCCGAACACATGCCGTAGACGTGAAAGTTCATGTCATAGACGTGAAAGTTCTTCAAAACTTCGAGACACAACAATTTCCACCTGCAGAGAAACACACAGAGACAATAAAGGAAAGTTACAAAAATGTTTGTGTGCGCTGTCAGTTATAGGTCTTAGAAATTAAGAAAATGGGAATCGTCCAGGAAAATCAGTGCCTCTCTACCTGATAGCTCTGTTCTATCCTGAGCTTGTCTACAATCTGGGGGATGGACAACAGTAACTTTATATTTTTAGGAGCATTTATGTTATTGTGGCCACGACTACAAACTGTCCTGCTGTCATCACCCACTCCACTTGGATTTTCACTTTAAAACCTAAACTACTTTTTTCTATAGTTAAATGAGTTGATTATTTGTTTTTCTTTATTCATGTAGTTTAGTTTTATTCCACCAAAAATGTACTTTATTTCTTGTAAGAAAATACATGCCCATCAGTGTTGACAGAAGTCAGAGGTGATGTCATCAAATATCAAATTGCTTGTTTTGACCAAAATTTCAAACCTTTAAAAATTACTTTTACCATTAATGTATGATCAAAATAAGTCAGTTTATTAATAAATAAATTTTCTCCGCTCTGCTTTCAACCGTATCCCAACAGCTTTCTTCGGCCAATGGATCACTTGAGTCACATGATGGATTCAGTTGGAGATGGTAACCTCTGTCTCTGTTCAGAGATGCTCTCTGGTGTCAGATGTAAATGTCCTCCTAGATCTTTCACCAGTCTTCCACTGACTCCTGCTCTATGACCTTTGACCTTCAGGTCGCGTCTTCCTAGGAAGCGTATTGTCTCATTTCCGGTTCCTGGTGTTTGCGTATTTCTGGTAGTTTTATTTTGCTGCTTTAGCTCAACACTGGTAAACTTGTTTAGATTCTACATTAAAGCAGCTAATTATCAGCTATACATTTAAACTCGGTTACCTGCTGTCGTCAGCCAGTTCCAAGTAGTCGTGCAGGCCGATCTGAGATGGCTCCTGTTAGCCGTCCCCCGGCAGCTCCTGACATTCCCATCTGACACCACAGAACCTCTGAGAACAGAGACAGAGGTTACCATCTCCATCTGAATACAACCACCTGTTATCATGTGACTTTGCTGGACTACAGTCATGTAATGACCATGAGAAGGCCATGAGATATGGTCAAAAGCTCCAAAAAAGAGGCAGTTTAGACTCATTTATTACAGATGTGTCCCATAAAGTCGAGAATGAAGCTTCACGCTTGGTGAAATATTGCTTCGTATATATTTTCTTGTTATTATATTGTAGTTAAACAGTTTTCATTTAATCTTTATTTTATATATCTATTCACTGTTTTTATTTTCTTTTGTTTACACTTCATTGTGTCAATACATATCACTGATACATTTCTTGTTTTTGTTTAGTATAGAATAGTACACATGTTCAGTATTATGTGTCCAGTTGTGTTTTTGGGGTTGTGGCTTTGGTCTCTAGTGATTACTAGAGAGACCATATCTATTAGCTGTATGTTCTGAAGAGTCCACTCCTCCTTCATTATACGTTTGGTAAAATCTGAGTCCCATGATGTTTCTCTTAAACAGGTTATTTAAATAGGCGGCCCGCGGGCCAGAACCGCCATGCCTGCAATAATATCTGGCCCGTCGACAGATTGCTTTGATAGCAGAAAAATAAAAAATACATAAATTGATAGCGGCTGGTGCTGAAATAGATCTCAGTCATGACAGCGACATGATCACTTCCTCTCAAGTGATTGTGCCTCCAAAATAAAAGCGCCAGAACTTTTTTTGCAGCAATGCTTTATGACAAGTTTATTGAGAGCTTTTACTTTGAAAAGTTCTGAACGACATCCAAAAGAGACTCTGGCTTGCTTGACACGCCTCTGAAAAACATTGATGGGATTCCCCTGAATTTCCTCAGGGAAATGAAATAAGCGTCCGTAGGTTTATGAATCCAGATCAAACACCAGGACGCACAATCGCATGCAGCACATGCTTTATTTTGAGCATGTGCAGAAGTGTCCTTCTAATCAATTTGTTTAACAAGGGAAAAAAATTACTCGCAGTTGGAAATAATCTTACAACCTTCCAAACGAGAGTCCCGCACAGAACCAACTGAGCTAAAGGTTCACACAAGTACGCAAGGATTTGAAATAATTAGACTTCTGGCCCGCCATGTAAGGGCTTGAAAAAAAAATTTGTCCCAATGCCAGACTTATTTGCCGACGCCTGCTTTACACATTCTTCTCCAGGTTTTAAATGTGTTAACTGTATATAGAGTAGTTGTGTATTTTGATATGTTGTTATTTTCTGTTGCTGAATGTGGATTTGAATCAGTTGGTTTGTTCAATTCTAGTTGAAGCAACGAGCCGCAGATTCATTAAAGACCGCGCCAGCTGAGGTGAAGACATGTCAGCTCAAGTCTGAAATGTTTCGTGGTGGGCGGTGCTATTTTGTCTACAGTTAGAATGAAATTGTATACTTTATCTTCTCCATGTAAACTTGACTTACTGGGATTTTTACTATGAAGATAAATAATAAACTGCAGACATTAAAACTGAGTTATTTCTGTTTAGGCTATTTCAAGAAACCATTCACCATTACTATCACTGTAAGAAAAGATACACCCTATCTACTCAATAAAAATGAGGCAACAGCTTACAAGCAATGTTATTAATTAAATTTCACAATGTTTGGTATTGAGTAAATCCATCCATCCAGACATTTTTACTCTGATAGCCTATCTTCACCTTTCCTCATGTGGACAAAACATGCAAGAATCCACACACTACCATGGATAGTAGTGGGTTGCAGAATCCGTCGTATGGATCCCTTTCACACGGTGCGGCACACAGTTGAACTGCGGATTGATTGCAAAGGCAATGATGTTTTATCCCGTTTGACCTCAAAATATTCTTTATTCTGGAAATGTCAGAGAACCAAGTTAGATTCTGATTGAGGGTGGTGATGGCGCAATGGATAAGACGCCTGCCTTTGGTGTGAGAGACCCAGGTTCAATCCCCCATAGTGACCCATCCACCATTGTGTCCCTGAGCAAGACACTTAACCCCTCGTTGCTCCATAATAAATAGCAATAAACCAGTAAGTCGCTATGAATAAATGCAATGTAATGAATGTGCAGAACTTTGAATATAAGCAGAAAATCTGCTGAAACACAGGAGCTGTTAAAGTCCAGGAGTTTATAACTGAATTAAAATTATTTAATTTATTATTGAAGAGGTAAAAAGGTGCCACGTGCACATTTATAGAGGTTACTACCTCAATCAGTCACGCCTGCCCTAAGAAAACTCACGAGCGGTTTTCTTCCCGCGCTTGGCGCATGCGCAGTGCAGCCCGTGTTGTGAGCGCGCAGAACAAACAATGATGGTGAAAAGTTAGTTCATGTTTGGAAGCATTAGGGGTTTTACTCTCTTCTATCCATAAAAAACAAATTGAATTTGATCCAAACTACCTCTGTGTGGAGAGGGAGGTGGTGGATTGAATATAAATCAGAGGAAATAGAACTTTTACTGTTTGATTTCCTGCTATTTTACCTTTCTATTTCTAGAGTAATAAATATTGTGAAATACATAAAATAAAAAACAGGGCTGAGAAAAACGCATAACTGAGCAGCCTTATCTCAACAGTTAAACTGTCATACATGAGCATGAATGAGCGTGAAGCATAGTAACCTTGTAGTCCACCAACGTAAACACGCTGCTTCCTTCTGAACATATTAAGAGCCTCCTGCTGCCTCCTCCTCATGTCCTGACAGCTGTGTTGTTATATTGAGAGCTTCTCTACAAACTGAGGAATAGACAACAGTAATTTTACATTCAGCCTGCATGTTATATATTTATTAATTTAGCTGACACCGTTATCCAACTTATAATTGCTATATATTGGAGCAACTCGGGGTCAAGTGTCTTGCTCTCTCACACATTGGTGGACGTGTCACAGTGGGAGTTGAACCGGAGTTGAACCCACCCCCCTGGTGACATATTAGCCTGCCCCCCCAAAATCCTGTTGTTGCACTCTAGCTATGAAGCTAAGATGCCACCCACCCTTACCTATCTGCTGGAAGGAGGGTCCTGGAAGACGTGGGTCAGCGCCAAGTCTGTATAAATAAAGTTTGTTTGACTGCACGCATTAGAATGAGCCACAAATATCACAATGGAAAACAGCTGCAGCTGTTATCAGCCACTGGGAGATTCACAGGAAACGCCCATTCAAGCACCTTTCATTCAGCTGCAGGGTTTCACCATGAGACGGCGCTTCCTTCACAAAAACACACCAACCTATAGGTGCATTCGAGATGACTGTGGCGGAGTTTTGCCGACTTGATGGTCTAACGTGAGCTGCAGGCGACTGCAGCTGCGGGGTATAAAAACGACTGGCGTGAGCTTAGAACAATGGCCGATCTCGCGACATCTGCCTTTTTTGTTGCTGATGAAATTGATGATAAATAAAATGGGATATTAAACACATCTCAAAGCAGTAAGTAGACTCAGCCTACTGTAAAAACCTGTAGGCGACAATAGCTTAAGGCTTTTAACCAGTCTCTGTAGGATGATGTCGCTTTAGCCTCTAGGGTTTCTCCACATCACCACAGCAAACATAAAGCTGGTAAGAAGTGAACCACCTTCGTGGTACTGAAAACCCAGCGTTAACCCCGAAGTTACCTGGATAAGCTCAAATCCTGCTTCGCGGTACAGGACTCCAGACTCCGGAGAGGGTTGGGAAACACCGTTTTAGGAGTGTGGCAGGCGGATTTACTATAAGCAATTCTACCTAAATGACACATTAACATGAGTTTTGTTCACTAGTTAATGCACACGAGGCCTGTGGGGCTTAAGCCATACTTAAGTCAGGGTCAGGATTTGCACGGGCTGGTTCCCCCCATAACTGTTTGCGTTGGGTGCCACATACCTATTCGAAAGCCACACTTAGAAAACCCTATTGCTTATCTCAGCCACAAAGAACATTTGTTCAGTGAAGTTGACTGGCTTTTGTGACAGTCAGAGAAGGCTCTGTGTGGCAGCTGGCATGATGCCAGAGCTTTCCGCCATGCAGCGGTTGCTCATGCTCTGGAGAAAGAACCTCGATCTCTTGTGCTTGTGGGCATGCATTTAATCGACCCGCTGATGCATCAGCTGTTAAAGCCTTATCGAGATGATGGGCACCTGACAGCCAGGCACAAAAACTTCAATAGGAGCCTGAATGCCGCACATGTCATTATTGAACACACTTTTGGCATTATGTGGTCTCAGTGCTCCACATGAAAGCTCATGGAAAGTGGGAGACTAGCAACCAGGCCAAGTCATGCAGGGGATCTCGGAGTAACAGTGATCTCCCGAGGTGTAGTCATATTGGCTTAGACTGACTAACCAAAATGCAAAATACTTGGAGAATGACAAAATGATAACACAGATATAAGATGTTTTCTTTGGGCTGAACATTTTAAAGTAGTTCTGTTCTTCTTTCTTTAGTGATTGGCTCATGGCTGTTTGGCCAAGGGTGGTGAAGATCTTATTTTCAAAGTTTCTTCTCCTTCAGTCTCCTCCACCTCTCCAGATCTGGGCGCGTTCTCCTCTCAGCGTGGGCCTCATAGGTCTCATAAAAGGAGGTGGCCTGACTGGCTGGTATTCTGCTGGCGACCCGGTCTGCAGAAGGTCTGGAAACTGGAGGCAGACCGCTGCTGGTATGAGCAGGTTGGGGTCTGTGGGTTCTGGAAGATGCGTGTGGAGGCCCTCTGGGGCACTCCAAACGCCTGAACGTCCAAATATTTCATCCATGTGCTGGTGGGCACCCTGGGTCAGGGGCTGGGCATTGATGGGAATGAAAACAGGAGGCAGGGTAGATCTTGGTAGAGTTCAGGATACATGATAATTGTCTAATAAACTGAATAAAAGGGGAACTTGGTTGGTTCTTGCAGAAGTTCTAATTTACTGTGTCCAAAGAAGTTACGTCACTAATCTTTGACCAAACAAATTCTCTAAATATTATTTCTAAAGCTTAATTAACATTGTCTACTCACCACTCCATAGCTTTTGGGCAGTATCTTTGGACACAGTGTCACTGTGCCTTTCTCAACTGTGACTGATTTGCATTTATTGACCCAAAATATCCATCCGTCCATCCATCGTCAACCGCTTATCCTGTGTACAGGGTCGCAGGGGGCTGGAGCCAATCCCAGCTGACATCGGGCGACAGGGGGGGTACACCCTGGACGGGTCGTCAGTCCATCGCAGTTGACCCAAAATATGTTGTTCTAAAATATTTTCACGCCAGAAGTTCAGTTTTGACACCCATGAAATTACTTCTAAGTAATGTCATCTGAAAACATACATGGAATACCTGGAGACAACAGAGAAGAGACTACTGTAAGAAAAGAGCCAACATATTGGGAGAAAATAATCACCTTCTTTTGCATCGACACTCCTGAATTAAACTAAGCTTTCTCGTTGGAATTGCAAACAGTGGCCATATGTAACAAGTGAGCTGCAAAAAGGAGGAAATGAAATACATTGCATCCCCTTCAACAGAGATAACGGGTCTGAAGCTCTTAGGATAATAACGCCACACACGTTGTGCATGTCAGGAAAGCCTTAAACTAATAAGAGTAAAGTTCTGTCACCACAAAGTCTGGTTCCAACTTTGCGTAACCAGAGAAAAGCAGCCTTGCTCCCACAAGGTTTCAATGTCATGTGACAATGTGATGTTTTGCAGCGCCAGCTAAAGTCGGACACAATTTCTAACCAGCATGCCCTATTTTAAGTCCAGCACGCATCAGGTTAAGTCAGCGCTGTGCAGTGCTGCACGGTGTCTAACACACCTGTAGTGTGACGGCCCACAGTCCACTGCAGAGTCCTGTTTCTGTGTGTAGGTCATGGTTTCGACAGGGATGTTTCCCAGACTTCCAGCAGCTGCTGGAGCTTCAATAATTTTTGCTGCCCGTCTAGTTTTCAATAGTTCTTATTCACAGATTTTTACAGCAGAAACAGGGATTTTAAATTTCACCTCAAAGGTTCAGCGTGTTCAGCCTTGTGTTGGATAATGACCAAAAACAACCTTGTACCTTGATATATTGAGAAATTATATTTAATCATTCAGTAAAATCATGTGTTGTTGTGACCTGGGCTCTGACGGACAACAAGGACAATTTAAGCCAAGAGTGTGAAACACAGTCACTGTTTCTTCTGTTATAAACCACACATTAGATGAAGTTTATACGAACACTGACAAGGGAAACACATTAATTCACTCTGTGATTATGGACCCTCACCAAAACTGCCCGCCATCAATAATATCTGGCCCGCTGCCAGATTATGGTGCTTTGATAGCGGCAAAAAATTAAAATAAACACTTAGCAATGCTGAAATAGATCTCAGTCATGACAGCAACAGTTACTCACTTCCTCTTTAGTGGTTTTTATTACAAAATAAAAGCACAAGAAGCTTGTTTACGGCAATGCTGTGTTTGGAGTTGAATTGAGAGCTTTTACTTTGAAAATTCTGAACGACATTAAAAGAGTCTGTAGCTGCTTGACACACCTCTGAAATAGCCGTCAGAGAATGTGATCCCCCCAAATATCCTCTTCCTGGAGACGCAGGAGAAAAATAAAAAACGTCCGTAGGTTGATGGATGTGGATCAAACACGATACAAACAGTCTCTGCAAAATCTGGGATCAAATACGCAACCTTCAAGGTTCGAGTCCTGCACATTCACCAACTCAGCTAACCGACCACTGTAATAATCTAATCTGAAGTAGTCCTATGGTCCACTTTAGGGGTGTCTGAAATCCTGTTTCAATATACTTGAAAATAAGGCATGAATATGGGAAATATCTGAACCATTCACAGAACTAAGAAACAGGACTAAGAACTAAGATAAGAAAACAGGGAATGAGACAGAATTGGTAATAAGTGAACTAAGCTGGACATGCAAAAAACCATGACACTTGTGTGTTTGGACTCTCTTAGCTGCCGAGATAAGCAGCAGATGTTTGTGAACAAACCGTCTGTTTCATCTGATTTCACCATTTAAACAGTAACCGTAATATAGCTACTCCTTTGTGGCCCGGGGAGAAAGTCCCAGACTCCCTTCAACAATCCTGCAGTTTAGTGACTTGTTGAGTTAGAGGACACTTTAGAAACTTTGTGAAACGCTGTCTACGACAAACTCTTAATGATTCTGCCTTCTTGTAAATTCAACATTAAATGTGACACATGAAGTTTTTTCTTTCGTTGTGTAAAAACATGATGAACAAAAAGCTTCAGCAGGATATTTTCATGAGCCTCTGATGTGATAATAACAAGCGCTTCATTAAAACTCTGCTCTGTGTGAAGCACACTCCCTCATACACATCAAATATGATCAGCTGGTTTCAGGAAACCAACTGACTAAACTTCATCTTCTGCCTGAAATCAAGGAGCCATGTTTCTAAACGGCCTTAGCGACAGTAACTAAGGGGCGGGGCGCCGTCACAGCGAGAACGCGGAGGCTCCGCGGGATCCGGAAGTGCTCCGAGACCAGAATCCAGACTCAGTCCAGGACAACACGGTCCACCAGTCACAGACCTGCAGGACGATGGAGAACCAGAACCCGGACCACAGGAGCCAAACAGCAGCCTCGTGCTCTGATAGCACCGATGTTCAGGTCAGTGTTCACGACTTCATCACGAGACTAAAGACACGAGGAAGAGTCTCGAGGGTCCGTGTATCATCCGTTCATTCTGTTGTTAGAGATCAGAGCCTGAAAACCCGCTCCAGGGTTTGTGTTGACGTGGTTTGATTTCCAAAGTGTCTCCGTGATTCCTGTTTTCATCTTGAAGAGAGGAAGATGAAAGAAAAACTCACGAGCGTTTCTCTTTTCTTTGTGCTGTGAGTCTGCCGCGCGGCGCATGCGCGGTGCAGCCCGTGTTGTGTCGGGAACGCGCTGAACAATGATGGTGAAAAATGATGCAGAATCATTATATTTCCTTGTTGTTTGGTGAGTTTATCACAGTGACAAACAGTCTGCCTGCGTTATTATTCTCTGAATGATCTGAGACACAATTTGCCTTTGCTGCACAGTCTCACCTGACGCCACAGTGCTCTCACTACAATCCTCCCTCTTTCATGAGCCAGACTGGAAACTAGAAAAATGTAGTGCTGGTTTGAATGGACCTCTGCACACTAACTCATATATAATAAGTGCTCATAAAGTCTGTTAGACTGGGTGCCAGTCTGCTGAGTCATGGTGGAGCAGCAGCTGTTCCTTTCTGAGCCTTGCTGTATTTCACCTGGCTCTGTGTGACCTGCTAAAGATGTCTCATTTATATAAATGCTGAGTACACAGAAAGGTTTCGTACACTGGTTTTCATGCACATGTGTGATTTATAAAAATGAGACGTGTCTGGCTCTATCAGTAAAATTCATGTTTAATATCAAAATAAAATTTGAATATGAGAGGAAAAGGTGTAATGACGCCTCTCAGAGGACAGAATCAGACTGTGTGCTGTTTAACTGCCAGCATAACGCCAGGATAATGTCGGGTGGCAGGATGCAGGCTCGCCTTTCCTGATATAAGATGTGAAATTAGTTCCTTTTCCGACTTTAACTTGGATACTGATGCATTTATCATCCTAAAAATCCAAATAACATCAAGTAGCATTAAAAAATTTGTAGTTTAAATTAATATCCTCTGTGCATATATCACCATTTAGTTTTTGATTGTAGAACAGATGCTTTCTCACCCGGCACATCTTCACCACATATGGACTGTGTAAATGTCTGGAAATACAGACATTTACAACTAAAGATGAGGATCGATGCCCGGTCCTAAAAGCACCCGGCTGCGCTCGTTACTGTACGTGCAATAAAACCTTTGCGTAAAAAGGCAATATTTTTATCAATACAGCTGCTCAACAAGCATCTACATGTAGAAAACATTCATTTAATCTGCTCTCTGACTCAATCAGAGCTGCTGCCATGTTTTCATCAGACCATGTTTCAGTTAAAGACGTAACGTCAGGTTTATGATCTGTAATATAAAGTAAAAGGATTTGTCTGCCAGGGATCTTTCATTCAGCGAAGCCAAATGTTTAGTGTCGGGCTCAGAGATTATTGTCTGCCGATCAGGAATAACAATTACGTTTGATAATTGTGCAGCCTGTCACGTGGAAAGTGCTGATCTCACATGGAGTAGTGCTTTGTGAGGGACGACTGAAGGGTTGAAGTCCAGAGTTACCGTAGTTGTATGAACAGAGTTCATAAATACAAGTTGGCATTTATCAAAACTTAATTCAAGTCGTTCAGGTGTGTTTTATTATTATATATTACAGGTAGGGCTGGGCAATAAAACAATATACTTTTTCTCAATAACAATATAATAAATGTTCAATATATTGTCAAAAAATATTTGGTTTAATTCATTTGAAACATGGACAAATTAGCACTTAATTCTACTAAAAATATTTGTTTTGTGGAGTAAAAGAGGCCTGAAAAAAGATTATCTAATCATATTTGTTAAACAGATTTTATCATAATAGTTTTGAATGTTCCACCTCAGATTTGTCAAGTGATTCACTGTTTGGCATCAAGTGTTTTTCACTTTCTGACCATAAAGAAAAGTTTAACCAAATAATTAACCATCTGGTTTCTTCAAGTTTCACACAGGAGCAAAAATCAGCTATTAAACTTGAAAGAAATAATGATTTAGAAATGTATCGCCCAGCCCTTATTACAGAACAATCGTAGCTGCTGTCTTGTGTCTGATCTCGGTCCGAGTGCTGCAGGAGGTGTTCATTTTTATTTATTTTGCACCCCATAACTGTATGCATGATGTTGCCATTAATTTATCTGTTATAAATATGAAAAAATGTATCATATCCTATTGGCTTACTTTAGTCTAATTTCCACATCTGTGTAAAGCACAGACTACTGACCAATCAGAACTCTTGGAAAGGTCGTCACCATCCAACTTGATTGACACTATTATGCTGTTGCACCATTATAGTGTATGTGATACCTGTAGTTACTGTTGGTAACAGCGAATGTGTTGATAATAAAGGTCACAGAAGTCCGGGCGGCTGAACGACATGAGTCTGCAAACAAAAAGTGAAGGGAGATGGTCACCTGGCCGTTAAACTAACCGTTGTCTTGTTTTGTAGACCCTTTTTCCATGAATGCTAGCAGTCAGTGCTAATCTCACTGTAAGACATTGCATTTCCTGTGAGCACTTCATAATAAAAGTCAACTCGTGTTTCGCCAGTCAAATGCTTTTAATGTGAAGCTGCAGCTGTAGGAAATGTTCAGTTTACGTTGGCATTAACTCAATACTGTATTTTTCTGGGAATTTTCCACACAATTGATAATACTGCATATATAAATATAGCAATACTATAATTTGTGGCCATTCTGCAGGACAGATGTAAAACTTTGGCGGGCTGGATGTGGCCAGTTGATGATGTAGGGGATGCAGAGATGATTTTGTACATCATCTTACAACAAGGACTGACTGGAACACTTAAACATTGTACTTGTTGTACTTTTGAGAAGTAAGGGCCACCAGTTTAATGATGGTCAAATTCCTGACTGTTATTTGTACCGTACACATTTTAATTACCATGCTAACCGGGTTCGGTTACCGAATATTTGATATTAAGTTGATAAACTGACGGTAAATACTGTCCAGTACCGACAGTCTCCCAGAAGCAGCTGTGCGTGCGCAGTGTGCAACGTAGGTTTGTTGGGGACAATGACAACAACAAGACGTGCTGCTTAGATCTTTTACTGGTCGTATACTGGTTTTTATAAGAGGGCTGAGGGAAGCTTGATCGAAGAAAATAACCTTATAGCAAATGCAGGATGAGTTAATTTTTAGCTTTGCGTTGTCTAACTAGCTAACATCTTGCAAACTGAAGAAAACTTTACGAAACAAACAAAAGATTTGTTGTTTTGAAACCAAAATGGGTCACCTACGTGATTTGTGCAGACATTTACATTTACTCATTTGGCAGACGCTTTTATCCAAAGCGACTTACATTTGAGGAACAACATAAAAGCATCAACAGAGCAACTACAGATCTACAACTGACAATACATACTATTAAGAGCTCACAGTACATATCACATCAATGGGGTAGATACCTAGGGAAGGAAGTAAGAGTTAACAAAAAGTGCAATAAATACAAGATCATTGTAGGGGATAGAAGAAGAAGAGCACAGGAAGTGCATGTTAGAGGTTAGGCGTTAGAGGTGTTATAAGAGTAGTCATTCTGTATGCAAGCATTAGTGACTTGAATTTGATTCTGGAGGCCACGGGGAGCCAGTGGAGGTCACTGAGTAATGGAGTGACATGAGTCCTTTTGGGCTGATCAAAAACCAGACGCGCTGCTGCGTTCTGAACCATTTGTAAGGGTTTCACTGCACAAGCTGGAAGACCTGCTAGGAGGGCATTGCAATAGTTGATGCGAGAGATAACCATGGCCTGTACCAGAAGCTGGGTGGCGTACTGAGTGAGGTAGGGCCTGATTTTCCTTATGTTGTATAGAGAAAAGCGACATGACCGAGAGACAGTAGCAACATGGTCTGGAAAGGACAGCTGGTCATCAATCATGACACCCAAGTTTCTCACCACCTTGGTTGGAGTGATGTTTGCAGAGTCAATTTGTAGTGTGATGTTATGGTGGATAGATTGCTTGGCTGGAATGACCAAGAGTTCAGTCTTAGAGAAGTTTAGTTGAAGGTGGCAAGCCTTCATCCATGCAGATATGTCCGATAGACAGCCCGTGATTCGCGCCAAGACAGTGGGATCTCCTGGCGGGAAGGATAGGTAGAGTTGCGTGTCGTCTGCGTAGTGGTAAGAGAAGCCGTGCGAGTGAATGATCGGCCCCAGTGAGGTGGTGTAAATTGAGAAGAGAAGGGGCCCAAGCACTGAGCCTTGGGGCACCCCTGTGGAGAGTCAGTGGGAGGAGGATAATTGTCCTTGCCACAAAACATTGTAGGAACGCCCGAGAGGTAGGATTCGAACCACAGGAGTGCTTTACTCAAGATGCCCATTGCTGAGAGAGTGGATAGCAGGATCCTGTGGTTGACTGTGTCAAAGGCAGCTGATAGGTCAAGAAGGATAAGAACTGAGGATTGGGCTGCAGCTTTAGCTGACCTTAGGGCTTCTGATACAGACAGAAGAGCCGTTTCAGTAGAGTGGGCACTCTTAAAACCAGACCGATATGGATCTAGTGGGCACGTAGTTGGACGGCTACGGGTCAAGAGTTCTGATACTTCGCTCTCTGTGAGAGGAGTGAACGAGGAGAGTGAACAACCACTGACCTGGAAGGGCAGGGGAAAATATTAAGACAGCCTTTAGGCCTACCAGTTGTCTACCGAGTCCACTCTAGCATGAGCTTTGCAACTTTACAGCTGGCTCTGCCTAAACAATTGTCACACCTAATGCCTCAACCTTAAACCCAATCAGAGAGACAGAGGAGGAGGGCAAGTCTGCGAGTTACACACCTGCTGCCGATCCGACAACTACGTGCACGTCGTGGTTCCTTGTGGGTCTATTTCAGTTAGCCAGCTATTTAAAAGCGTTAAAATATTCTTCGCGTGGTTCATCAACGGTGATAAATTATCCGAAAGTCCCACGAGGTGCAGATATCTCGGCACAACACCAGT